AAAAAAAAAAAAAAAGAAAAGAAAAGAAATTTTCACTAGCTCACTAGCCTGTGTCCCCTGAGCTGTGTGCTTCCCTACCTGTAAGGGTCAGTCTGAACCTCCTCCCCCAGAGCAGGCCACACCCCTCCGAGGAGGCTACAGGCTGGATGAATCACAGCCCTCAAAGGGGCAGGCCTCAGCCAGCCAGGACCTTCCTGGACCACACTCCACTCAGCACTTCCTCTCTGGGACCCGGGATTCCAGTTGGAACCTGCGCAGCTCAACTCCAGGCGTGGGAGCTCCAGAGCTCATGGCTGGAGCTGGAGCCCTAGAAACACCACCCAGCTTCCTTCTAGAAGTTCTGGGTAGGAGAAGAAAGCAGGAGACTCCTTCAAGTGCACCACAAGTTCAGACCTCGCCAGCCTCAGCCACACTCCCCCTGGAGCCCTAGAAACACCACCCAGCTTCCTTCTAGAAGTTCTGGGTAGGAGAAGAAAGCAGGAGACTCCTTCAAGTGCACCACAAGTTCAGACCTCGCCAGCCTCAGCCACACTCCCCCTTCTACCAGACAACATGGTTTAATTGAGAAATGAATCCGTGGCCACTGCCTTCCAAAAAAAAATTTTTTTTAAAGTTTTAAAATCCCTAAACAAGCTGACTGATGCGTGCCAATTAAACTTCACCAAGTATAAAATCTCATTTGAATGTCTCCATCATTTACATTTTTGATGGAAGTACGGGTGCTTTATGGCAAAACTTAAATATGGTAATTAAGTATGAAGCTCTTCACAGCTGTTTACAATTTAAGCTGTCATGTCTGAATCAAGTTTAATAGACCCAGTTACCATTGAGAATTGCCCATGAACTAAAAATATGGGCTAATTACCAACCCGAGTCAGATCACTATACACCAGAGCAAGGGCTGGTCACCCAGTGTGGCTGGGATGTGGAAACACCAATATTTTTGCCTGCAGGAAACCTGGGGACACAAGCTAAGACTGTTTTTGCATAAATCTGCTTCTCATTTGCATACATTCCCGCCACTTTGCCCTGACGTCCCAGGCTGTAAGTTAAACCAAATATAACCAGAGCTGCAGCAGGTGGCTGAAGGCCCAGGCGCGGCAGGGTCTGTGAGGATCTAGTACCAGCTGCAGGATCTAGTACCAACCTCAGAGGACAAACTGCTCAGGCCTGCCGCGGACAGCCTTCGTTCCCCACTTCCAGGGCCGGTGCCAGCCTCCTCTGAGTACCGCTGACTACAGGTCTGTCTCATTACCTGACCAGCTTCTCTACCCAGTTTTCCCATCCCTGCCTTGTTTCCAGTGACTGGCCAGGTACTAGGCCAACTGAGCCCTGCTCTGAGCAGCCTGCTCCCTAAAAGGAGAGAGCCTTGCATGAGGATCACTCCAGGAAGGCCAGCAGCCCCTGTGCCCAGGTAGAGTGGGGGCATAGAGTTCCTGGGCCTGTGGAGTGACCCTGAGTTCCTCCGCCTCCACTTCTGTACTTGGAGGCCTCGGTGGGCACTGCTACCTGCTGCCGGTGGATGGAAATGTCTTTATGTAGGGAGCTTCTTCTGGCCGTGCCCAACAGGACAGGGAAAGGAGGCCTGGGGGCTGTGCTGCCCCAGCACTGGCCTGGCTGGTGAGTGACGTGGGGATGAACCCCTTCTCCCGGCTTCCCGCAGGAGGTGCAGGGAGATAGAGACTCCAGGAAGGCAGGCTGCCATACCCTCACAGTCTCCGAGTCCCAGCTATGTTAAGACAGTGCTGTCCTGCGTCCCAGCACCAGCCGCCCCACACAGCCGCCTGGCAGACTCCTACTCGCTGCTCATCCTTTGCAGTCCCTGTCTCTGGGGAGACCTCCTGACCTCCAGGAAGGTTGGAGAACCTCCACTCTGGAGTGAAGCCCTCCGGTTACTGAAGCTGAGTCCCTGCCTGCAGACTGCACAGTCCCCAGGGTCCCCAGCACTCCCCACCAGGCACAGCCCCCAGGCCTCCCTTCTCTGGTCCCACTGGGCACAGCTAGAAGAAGCTTCCTACAAAAACATTCCCGTCCACCAGCAGGTGGCCCAGGAAGGACAACCACCCGGCAGTGGGAGCTCAAGGCACCGCTTGTCTTCTGCCTCCCCGTGAGGAATCCTGTGAAGTCTTGAGAATCTCTGGGTTTCCAAACAGGGCCAGGGGCTAGCTAAGGCCTTGGAGCACCAGGCAGTGTTGTGTGTCACCTGGGGTGGGCTGTGTCTCAGAAAAATGGGGTGGAAGCAAAGAATGGAGAGAAGGACAAGCTGCAGTGCAGCCAGTCAGTCCTGACCAGGGACAGGATATGCTGAGAGGAGGGAGGAGCTTGGTGTCTGGCAGGAGCCCTGCCCTCTGTTGACTGCCTTTCTGACCGGGGGGCGCCCGATTTCCTTCAGGTCTGTCTGAGGTGCTCTGAGCCCAGGCAGGGCCTCCCTCGGAGGTGCCAGGCTAGCTCCCTCTTATCCTACCCCCATGCACAAGGGAGCCCCTGCACCTGGGAGTGGCCCTCCTGCTGCAGCAGGAGCTGTGGGCTCGCTGCCCAGGACATACTCTAGTCAGTAGGAGGAAGAGGCGGACAATGGGACAAAATGAGCCCGTATTTTAAGTCCATGTGGCTTCATAACTACCAACACCAAGAGTCACTGTCTAGGGAACAAGGCTGCCACTGGAGAAGTTCAGCCACCGCAGTTCAGGAGCCTGCGGTATCACAAGACCCCAGGTGAGTGCCCAGTCCCACAGAGTCTGCAAGAAACAAGGGGGCAAAATCAGCACAGCGGTACAGGCCTGTAATCCCAGACTCAGGAGGCTGAGGCAGGAGGATTGTGAGTTCAAGGCCAGCCTCAGCAATTTAGTAAGGTCCTAAGCAACTCGGTGAGACCCTGTCTCTAGATGAAAAATAAAAAGGGGATGCAGCTCAGAGGTTAAGCACCCCTGGGTTCAATCTCCAGTACCAAAAAAAAAAAAAAAAAAATCACTGAGGTAATCTCTTCATTCTGTTGATAAATAACAGCCCAGAGAAGGGCAGGATCTTATCAAAGGCCACACAGCACATCAGCCATTAGAAGACTTCTTGTCTGTCTCCTACTATGTGTCTTCCATGATCCTTTGTGGTAGGCTGAATCTGGGCACCACAGATGTCCCTGTCCTAATCCCTGGAACCTGTGAATGTTACCGTATATGGCAAAAGGGCTTTGCAGGCGGGATTAAGTCAAGGACCTTGCGATGTGGAGATTATCCTGGATTACCTAGTGGGCCCAATGTCAACAGGGCCTCGAGTGGGGTCAGGAGAGCCAGAGAAAGAAACAGCAAGGTGACGACAGAAGCAAGACTGGGGGTTGACCTGCTCAGGCCCTGAAGGTGGGGGACAGGGCCTCGAACACAGGATTGCACGTGACCTCTGGAAGGAAGAAAAGGCCAGGAAACAGTCCCCACTGGAGCCTCTGGGAGAAACACAACCTGCTGACCCACCTCAGCTCTCTGACCCCCGGAACTGTGAGAGGACAAACATGTCTGGCTTTAAGCCACTAAGTCTGTGGTCACTCGTTACAGCGTCATAGGAAACACACAGTACCTAGAGCAGGTGGGCCGCAGGAAGCCAGGCCCACCGCTCTGATGTCCTCCACAGGTCCTTTTACACAGGGAAGGGAGAGCCATGGGGACTGGGGACCAGGCTCTAGGCAGTGATGGAGGTCAACTGAAGCTGACACTGAATCAGCAGATGTGGGAATCTCTTTACAGAGAAGATGCTCCAATCACAGGGCCGCAGACACAAAGCCACGATGCCAAAGGCTGACCTGTCCCAGCTCCATGTTCCCAAATTCAAGACAAATGCCCAAGACCACCGAGGTCTCTCATCCACCCATCCAGCTAGATGTGTCAGGGTCAGCCTGGAAATGGGACGGAAGCTCGCAGCCCTCCCAGCTGCACAGAGGGGAAGGAATGTGGGTTCAAGTGCCTCTGCTCTTGGTGGCCGTCATCTTCAGCAAGACAGCTGGGCTCCGAGGGTGTTTCATTATAAATCTCAAAGAAAAACAACAGCGAACAACAGTGTCCCGGAGCAGAGTGTCCTGAAGGTCAAACAAGAAAACCCTTAAAGCCAGGCACTAAAATGAGCATGCGGAGGGTGATGAAGCCTCTCCCTCCCTGGGCTGGTCACAGCAAGTACAGTCCCCTGAGGGGTCCATCCCAGGAGCTGGGCACTGACCTCTCATCTCCTGGGCCTAAGCCCTCCCAGGTCTGCACCCTGCAGGCTGCAGTGGCCTCTGGTAATCTCACACCTAACAAATCTTGTTACAGAGAGGAAGCGGCCCAGGTACTTCCTGCACAAAGGCGAGTCACTGGACACAACCAGGCTGTCCTGTGGGGCGCCGCTGACTACAAGCCTGCACAATGCCATTGGCTCTCAGCAGCCACTTGAGATTCCCCAGGGTTGCGTCCATTGTTAATGGACTTTCACCTTTGGGTCTTGCCTCCTCCCAAGAGCAGTCCCAGCTCCCCACTGACCATTTTCCGCTTGGTGCAGAGGAAGGCATGGCACTCGAGGTTTTCACTGTGCTGGCTCTGCGCAATGTATGCGAAGACTTTGTCGTGCATCTTGTCTGCCGTACAGTAGGAGATCCTGAAAGGCAAGTGGGAAGTGTCACCAGACCCAACAGGGCCTGACCACAGCTTGGATGTGCTGTACATAGGGCATCTCCCCTGAGTTCAAAGAGCCTACTACCCCTCTTCTCCAAGGCCGGACTGTAGATTCAGCCTTGGCCTCCAGGCCTGGCATCCTGCACCTTCTGTGGGAGAAGGACCCAGGCCAGGCACAGGAACTGGGGGTAAAGACCAGAGGAAGCCACCTCCTTCCTCCCCACACTCCAAAATAGTAGGAGCCGATGCCCAACTGCTCCCCAGGCAACGGATCAAAGCTTTCCAGACAGAGCCTTGCTTCATTCTCAGAGCTTCCCTTGGAGATGGAAAAACTGAGGCTCAAGGTCTGGGACGACAGGGCTGGTGGCAGAGCTGGGACCTAAACTCACCTGTGGGATTCCAGAGTCGTCCCTGAAAGGTCTGTTCTAACTGGGGGTAGGGACACCGCCCTGCTCCTTCTGCCCGTCACCCAGCCTCCCCTGCCAGGTCATCAGGGGAACTCCAGCCCATGTCCCCCAGGGTGGCTGGGATCAGGAGCAGCATATCTTCTGGAGCTGCTGCCAAGGGTGGGGACCTAGAACTAGGGTTGGGCATGTGAAGATGGTGACAGGATCCCCAGTGGGTATGGGTGGAGATTCCACAACTCGCAACTCGTTCTGCAGGGAACACCCTCCTGCTTCCCCAGCCCTCATCTGCTGGTCCTCTCTGCTGGATTCCCCCACTCCTCCAGTCCTAGGAATCGTGACCAGGGGAGGAGCTGACAGCCCAGGAGCCAAGAGGCCCCAGCTTCAAGCTTCAATGATACCACTCCTGTGGCAGTGCTGAAGGCCTGCAGGTGGACAGAAGGGGTGCACATCCCCAGCTGCCTCTTATTTCTAGGGATCCAGCCTCTTGCCCAAATGGCCCTGGGTCCTTGGAATCAGTTGGCCAGATCTTGCGATTCTTCAAGCCCCAGCAGGGTGTCACCTCCTCTGAGAGGTATTCCCAGATTTCCCCAGGCAAGCCCTTCCTCTTCTGTTGCCCCCACCCCAACACTCTGTCTCCTATTTCCTCCCCTCCTGGCCCTCCTAGACTGGGAGCTCCTAGAGGACAAAGCGTGAGTCACATCCCTCATCTGGCACAGACATCAGCAGAGCAGGTCCTTGGAAAGACAGGCTGGTGGCATCAGCAAGGTGAGAAAAGGCATCTGCTCAACACTTTGACCCCAGCACATGTGCCCCCCACGCTGGCCCAGGCTGCAGCCAGCTGAGCCAGCTGCCTGGGGACAAAGCAAGAAAGTGGAAGGAGGCCTGGCAGATGGGGGCCTGCTGGACAGAGCTCTAGCCTGGTCCCTGTCCAGGTACCACCTCACTGTAGCAGAGGCCATTCCCTCTCTGGGCCTCACTTTCTCCCTCTGTAGAATGGACTGGGACCCCTTCTAGTTCGTAAGTTCTACAGGTGACCAGCCAAGAGAGGAGTGGAGGCAGCCTGAGGCTCCAAGGGCTAAACCCTGCCTCTGTGGGACAAGAGAGCCTCAGAGGGACCATCTACACACTGTGGTGCAGATCCTGGATGACCCTCTGGAATGCCCGGCCAGTTGCCCAGGGCTGAGCTACTGCATTTGCGGTGTAAGAGGCAGGGAGTCTGTAGCTCTGTGCTCCAGGCCGAGTTGGCACTGCACAGGTTGAGGTGGATGCACAGGGCCAGGCAACTGCACCTTAGTGGAAGACTAGCTGTGAGCTGGGTGCTATGTGGGAGCATTCTGTTAGAGCTCAGGGAGGTAGGACCTGCTCCCATCCCATCTAACAGATGAGGACACGAAGACTCCACCATCACCGTGACAGAAAGCAACAGAGTCTGGACTCAGCTAGACCACTCGGTGCACCACCCCAAGAGGCAGTGACATGGGCCACCCCCGTGCAGCTTACCTGTAAATGGACACGTTCTCAATGAGCTGATTGGTGAGGTTGTCAGTCAGGATAATGCCCCGGGGTGACACTTTGAGAGTCACCTTCTGCAGCTTCTTCCCACTGGCCTTGGCCTGGGGAATGGAGAAGGAAGGCAGAGGTAGGTCAGGAGCTGCCTGTTTACATGGGGCCCTGCCTCGCGGCTGCGCCTAACTGCCCCAGGCCCACAGGCAGGGCCTGCGTGAGGCCTCGGCTCAGGTCAGTGCCACGGGGAGGGTGCTCAGCCAGCCCCTCCTGCAATAAAAACAGGATAACGACTGCTGCCGTTCACCAGCACCCTCAGCCTGCCAAGACTGGACCTCACAGGCAGCAGGGTGGACTCTCGTCCTCCCCCCCCAGGAGGAAGTGAACTCAGAGGGTGAGGGACTGGTCCAACGGCACACAGCTGGGAGGGATGCCAGACGGCTATCTCCACCAGCAGGATGACGTGGAAGTGCTCCACCCACCACCCCTGCCAGCACCTGAGCCACAGGGTCGAGGTCACTAAGGAAAGTGGATTAAAGGGCCATACTCACTAGGAGCTGGGAGGGGCCAATCTGGTCCCTCGTGGGCTACACTCTCTCAGGCCACTGTGCACATGGTCAAATGACAGCAACCTCCCCACCTCCCCAGCACCGGTAAGCCACCAAAACTCAGGCAAGGAGGCTGAGCCATGGAGTTGAGACTGAAAGTAGCCACACACATGTTGGCTGGACAGGAGGACACTGACCCTGACCCAAGCCCAGTGGATCTCCTCCATGTGAGGCCTGACACACGAAGCTGACACACTAAGACTCCAGGGCAGGGCCAGGCTCAGACATCCCACTGAGGTCATGAGCTGGGGAAAAGGGGCAGCTGGGAAGAAGCTGGCCCTGGCTGTAGCACCTGCCCCCCTCCCCAGGGCACTTACAGTGGCCACGATCCTCTTGACAGCAGCGGCTGACAGCTCCTCGCCTTTGGGCCGCTCCACCAGTGTCATGCCCAGGTACTTGAGGCTGAAGAGCATGCCCTCCAGCAGCGTCTCCCGGGTGTCCGTCCAGTTCTCAGGCAGCTCTGGGGTAGGACAGGGAGGCCCTCAGAAAACCAGGAAGGAACACTGTGGTGCCCCTGCCACCATTTTTACTACCCACGAAGAACAGTTTCTAGAACACACCCAGCACTGATAAGCAGCTTTCCACAAACTGCCCCCGCGAATTCTCAAAGAGCCCACGAGCAGGTCTTTTATCACAGCCACTGCAGACAACGATGCCGGGGCCCAGGAGGCTGCCACACAAGCCCACAGAGCCAGTCAGTGCCGGGGCCGACTTGGCCACGTGTCCAAGTCCCCAGCCAAACTCAACTTCAACGCTTCTTTTTTTTTCTTCTTCCCCAAGTGAAAAAATCCATTTTTTTTTACTTTTAAAAGACATTATTATTGGGGCTGGGTGGTGGCTCAGCAGTAGAGCACTTGCCCAGCACATGTGTGGCACCACATAAAAATAAATAAATAAATAATGCAGGTATTGTGTCCATCTACAACTAAAAATATTTTTAAAATGTTATTAAAGCACAATTCACATGTCATAAAATTCATCTGTTTTAAGGGGACAATTCAGTAATATTTGGTAAACTTACAAGTGGAGCACCTGTCATCACAACCCAGTTCCCATACACTTTCGTCATCCCCAAGGTGCCTCCACCTGTTTCTCTCTTTCCACCCCAGAAGTAGGAAGCTGCCAGGCTACTTTCTGTCTCAAGGTTTTGGGGACCTTTGGTGTCAAATCCTTCTGTTTCAAGATTTGCCTTTTCTAGACATTTCATGCAAATAGACTCAGCGAGGGGCCTTTTGTGTCAGGCTTCTTTAACTTATGGAGCTCACTTTTTTGGTCTTTGAGACTGGTCAAAATGTTAAAAATTTGATGCCACCTGGTTGGCAGCCCTGTGGGTGCCACAGGTAGTCAAAAATATGGAGCACTTAGGGAATTTGCCTGTCACCCTTGCACTGGGCTATGCTACTCTTCTCTGTTTCATTCCAATTTTACCATCAATGCTGCGGAGGCGAACACCAGTGCTAACTTCTGCCCCTTCTCTTGCTGCAGCCTTGGTGAGGTGGGTATGAGCCCTCACTACAGTCAGGAGGCAGAATGGAGGGGAAGAGACATGAGACAAAAGTCACACACCATAGCAGAGGAATGAGGCCCCGGGTGGCCACCGTGGCCCAGCCTGAACTGCCTCACTCTGCCTGCACCCGAGACCCAAGGGTTGGGGAGGGCAAAGGGTTGGGGAGGACGAAGAGTTGGGGGAGGGCGGCAGCAGAGGCAGCAGCTCAAGGATCTCTGGGCGATGTCACCTTATCATTCTGGCAGACCTGGTTCAAGTTCCAGCTTTGCTGCCTGCTCCCCCCAACCCATTCTCAGAAGAGGCCCCCATCCCCTTTGAGACTGATAATGCCCTCCTCTGAGGGTGACAGTAATGGCAGAGCAGGCTACATGGGAAGGGTCCTCTGAGAACTCTGGATGAAGACTAACGTCAGGAAGGCTGGGAAATGAGGGATGAGTCCGTCACTCGATAGGGACATAGAGCAGGAGGGAGGGCTGGAGACAGCCCCACCCCTCAGGAAAGGGCCCTTTGGAGGCAGAGACACGGGGGAGGCGCAGCCCGCATGGGAGGCTTTGCCGGTCCCAGGTTCCTCGGTGGAGCTCAGGCCCGGCATCCATCCCTGGGAGGGAAGCACAGTAAGGAAGCAGTACGAAGGTCCCCAGGCCCCAGGATGAACGCTAGCCCCTCACCTGTAGGGCCCTGTCTGTCCTTATCAGCCCACGCAGATGCTGCCTTGGGGGAGGTGTTCACGCCGACCATACCCATTCTACAGATGAGAAACTCCTCAGAAGCACACACAGTCTTGCTGAGGACACAGCAGGATCCACACAGGAACCAGCTTCTAGGGGCCACCAGAGAGGTAGCCAGCCTCCTTAGGCCATTCTCTGGACGGGGTCTGGGAGAAGTCTGTGCCCACACTGCCTCCTCCTGGGCCTCCTCGCCAGCACTGATGCTCAGCCACAGGAGGCAAGTTTAGCTCTGGCAACAGGGGCTCCAGGGCAGCTGAGCCCTGGCAGGGTCATGGGTCTCCCCACGAGGTTCAGCCGGGCTCTGGTGTTGCTGGACTGTCGGGAGTAGAGTCCTGGGCCCAGGGCGCACCACCAGGCCCCCTGCGCAGTCTGTCTCCCACAGCCCCTCCTAGCATCTATCTCAGCACTACAAGGTCCGAGGGCTGTCCCCCTCCTCTACAGTCAGGAGACTGCACTCACACTCCTCTGGATTTGGGTTGAGCAAGCCACTGTCCCCCTCGGAGGTTATTTCCTCGTCTGAGAGGGAGTGTGTGTGTGCGTGCGTGTGTGTGCTGGGGTGGGGAGGTCATATGGGGGCCTCGTGTTATCCCTCCCGAGATCCTGGTGAGCAGGGATTTGCTAGCTGACCCAGAACTGGCATGCAGCTAGCACCCCACATTTGCTGGGTAAGAGAACAACCTGGAAGACCTCATCCCCAGCTCTGGCCTGATGCACTGCCCATGAGCCTTCCCTCCTGGGCCTCTACCCTAATATGAGGCCTGGTCCTCACTGAGATGACCCTAAAGCCCAAAGTAACCCCATCCTCTGTCCCATCTGCCAGAAGCCTAATCCATTTGATCCTCCAAAAAAGCAGCAGAAAGTTCTTCTTGGTGTGTCCCTGGTACGACGTCAGATGATGGTACAATTCAGGCCCTGCTCTCAAGGAAGCCAAGACTAACAACATCATCTCTGGGGTGAATCAGAGCTACCGTGTTGATAAAGATGAATAATCAAAGCCGGGGCTGCGATGATAGCTCAGTTGGTAGAGTGCTTGCCTCGCATGCACAAGGTCCCCAGCACCACCAAAAAAAGAAAGAAAAAGAAAAAGAATAATAAAAAGCTACCCTCCAAGCAAGCATTCTTTCACTCCAATTTCACAGACAAGGAAACTCAGGCTCCAAGGACTCTGGCTCTAAAACCCAAGCTCCTGATCACTGGATAGACCATCTGTCCCTGAGGCCAGCTGCCTTACCTCTAGGAGCGGGTCAGGGAGAGAGAGAGATTCTTATAGCTGGAGGTATTTGCTCCACCTGGACTGGGTATTCCTAACACTAGTGGCTTCCTTTCTGTGGGCCAAGATACCAAGACCACTTTGGACCTGAGCCCATCTAAGGATGGCACAGGCAGAGCTGCACTGCCCAGTGCCTGTGTCCTTGGCAGACATTGCTAACTGACGGCAGCTTGATTTCCCTCAGTTTCAAAACAGGGCCCCAAGGCAGGCCACACCAATCAATCAGGGCTGGCCTTGTTCATTCATTATCCATTCCTGCCCTAAAGCAAACATCCTTCCTCCCCTATTTTTGTGACCCCACTCTCTCATTTCCTGTGGCTCAGCCTTTTTCTGGCCCCTTTCCAAAGCCACTTCCCATCCCTCCATTCCAAAGGGCCAAAGCTTGCCAAGGTCACTGGTGATCTCTTTGCTGTCAAAACATTCCCCTGTCCTCCTTGACCTCTGAAAAATGCTTGCCATTTTTCTGCATTCCTCCCTTCCTGGACTGACCCTTCCATATTCTACTCCCTCCTCGTAAAGTGGCTGCTACTCCCTGGCCTCAGAGGCCCCACGTCTCCACACCTTGCTTGACAGATGATGCAACTGAGGCCCAGAGAGGGACAGTACCCGTTTGAAGTTATAGCAAGTGGGGGCAGGGGAGGGGGCCCCAGACCCCTACACCCAAGCCCCACAACGACTGTTCCCATCTCTTTTCCCACAACACACATAGAGACCCCAGCAGCTCCAACTGTGCAGAACTGCCTCCTCATAAGGCAACACTACTTTCTAACTTTTGAGCTTCTGTTCAAATAGTTATATCTAAAATGTTTTCTTCCCTTCACTTGATTCAAACCCCATTCATCCAGGCTCTTCCAGGAAGCTCTGAGGCAGCACAGCCCAGTGGTTAGGAGCAAGAGCCTTAGTCCTACCATTCCAGTTCTGGTGCTTTGTGGAGTGAGCCTCAGTTTTCTCATCTGTAAAACGGGAAGCAACAGTTCCTAGTGTAAGGGGCTATCTTGTTTTCTTTCACGTGTGTGACGGGGGTAGATACTAGGGATTGAACCTAGGGGCCCTCTACCAACTGAGCCATATCACCAGCCCTGTTTTTTTGTTTGTGGGGGGGAATAGTCTTATTAAGTGCTGGCTTCAAACTTGTGACCATCCTACCTCAACCTCCTGGGATGCTGGGATTGCAGGCATGCGCTGATCCTTGGATAATAAACTGAGATAATGAGCTTGTAAACTGCACTCAGCCAGGGCCAGCCAGTGGCAGGTGCTCCACCTCCTCCACAGCCACACCCCCACTGCCAAGGAGCTGCCTGCTTGTGTTTTCACCTCAAAGGACCCACCATCCACATCCGCCCTCCCAGGACCTGGTATGCAGCAGGGGTGCCCTGACCAGCAGTGCCATCCAATCTTGTCCTGCTTTACCTTGTCCCCATTCCTGTCACTGGTCCTCCCTTTCCTCTGGGAGGCCTGGTTCCTCTCTGGTCTTCCTGTGCACATGGCTCTTCTTGTGAGATGTGAGATCTTTGGAGCCCACATCTTCCCCTCTGCAGCCAGCAGCACCGGGCCTCGGTACCGACAGACCCACGGAGTTTCTCACCACCCTCGTCCTGCTCACCGGTCATCACCTCAAACAGGATCCACTCACAGCATCCGGCTCAAGGCCACATGCTCTCAGAAGGAGCCCAGGACTCCAGGGGAAGCTCCCAGAGGCTCCCTGAGTCCGCAGGCCAGTTCCGGTCCGGTTATTTTGCGCCCTGTGGTGGGTAATGACTATGCTATTTTAACTGTGCAATTTTACAGATGACCTGCTGCCATAGTTAGCTGGGACAGACCATACGCCCAGTCTAACTTCAGCTGTGACCATGTGCTCTTTCCTCATGAAGGTCCTTACCCAGGAGTTAGGGACAGGCAGGGCATACCTGTCCCCCTTGTGCTGCCCCAGGAGACCCAGCAGGATGGTGTCTGGGACATCCAAGTCTCAGCCAAAGCAGGGGCCTAGAAGCCACAGAGTGACAATATCTCAGGAGGGGACCCAAGCTCTGCCCTAACAGGAGTATGGCTGCTTCTCTGGGCTGCAGTGTCTCTACCTGTCAAATATGCTCAGCCCTCTGGGAGCATCATCTGAAGGAGCTTTCAGAGGTGAGAGTGTAGGCTAATTTCAGAAGTCAGAAAGCTAGCGAGACTTACTAACTTAACAGTGATCACTGCAGCAGCTCCGTTTCCTGAACATCTACACACACTGCAAGAGAAAAACACGCTCTGCAGGAGGGCAGCCGGCCACCCAGCCTCCCCCCTTTACACGGGGACAATAATACTACCTACCCCAGGGGCTGTCATGAGGATGAAGCAAATTCCCCCACTACCCTGTGTGACACACACCAAGAACCAGAGTACAAGCTACTGTCACTACCAATGTCAGGTGCAAAGGGCTTTACTGTGTGCGTGACCATGCAGAGTATTTTCTAAGAGCACCACAGACAGGTCGGCAATCCCACTTCACAGGTACAGCAGCGCAGGAGTGCGCAGGGCTGACAGCTGACAACACTGGGACTCAAACTGACACTTGCTCCTGCTGGCAAGGCAGCGGCCATGCAGAGCCCTGCTCAGGGTCACTCCAGCAGGGCCTGGGCCTGCTGCCCTGCAGGGCTGCTAAAAAGAAGCATGTGACCCTCAGTGGGCAGTAGATAACCTCTGACTCCCTCATGTCCCTCCCTCAGCGGCCAGATCTGGGAGGAGCAGAGTCCCAGCCCCCAAGTCAAACATCCCCTGCCACTTGCTATTCCCAGTGCCTAGAAGGTGCATCCCAGATTCTTCCCTATTGGATTCACGAGTATTGCCCAAGTTACTTCCCCAGAGAGGTGATACTGTCAGGGGCCCTCCATTCATGTTGGTCTACCAACACCTCCTACCCTGCCTGCGGGCTCACTGGCTTTGGAGGGCCAGTCCCCTGCACACTGCAACCCTCCAGCTACAACTGCTGATCAGGGTCCCTCAAAGGGAAGGCATGGTGGCATATGTCTATAATCCCAATGACTCAAAGACTGAAGCATGGAGGATGGCAAGTTTAAGGCCAGCCTCAGCAACTTAGTAAGACCCTGTCTTAAAATAAAAAAATAAGGGCTGGGCATGTAGCTCAGTTCAGGTTCAATCCCCAGTACCAAAAAAAAGGAACAACCCTGAGCAGCACATTCTACCTGGCTCCCAGAGTTCCCCAGGGATTAAGCTCCAGTGGCCCACAGTGGTCATCTGCTTCAGGATACCCACTTTTTGGACCCCCTTCCCTTCTCACTTGTCCTGACAATATTCACTGGGATCGCTTCTCAAATACAGAACTTGCACTCAGATCCTTGTCTTGGTATCTACTTTCAGAAGAACTCAAAGACACCACCGCCCAATCTGCAGAGCCATGCAGTCGCTTTTACAGCCTGCTTTGCCTTTATCCACAGCATCGCTACCCTCTACGGTCCAGTCCCTTTCTCTACCTCCTCCACCAGACTGTGAGGACTACCAGAAGAGCAGCGACCAGTCCCCAGGTCCCCATAGCCTCTCAGTGCCCAACAGGTATTAGGGTTTGGCAGTTTATTCATCCTATTTATATCTCATAAATACATATGAACAGATGCCTCCCTCCCCCACCTACCATCATGAACTGGTATCATGATGGTATCATATTTATCCTTCCTCTTTTGCTTCCCTGACAGGTTAGCACAACTCTCAAAGGAGCCCAAGGGTCAAATGACCCCAATTCCTTTGGAAGAAGGATACTGAGCGGCCACAGTGAGCCATCTTTCCAGGCAGCTGAACGAAAGGAAAATCCTTGACCAGGGAATAAGATAAAATATTTATGGTTCCCTAAGAGATGGGAAGAAGCCACATGTGGGAGAGGGAGAGAACCCCTCCAGGTCAGGACACCTGGAGAGAGAAGCTGTGAGCCTCAGAACCCAGAAGCCTTAGGATATTGGCTTTCCTGTGTGACATCAGGCATGTTGCAGCCAGTCCTGTGCTTTAGTTTCTCTACAAACAAAAAGAACGATCGTGGAAATCCCAGCTGAAGACCTGAGAAGCGAGGGGCAGGCCTACGTAACTCCAGTGACATCAGTCTGGCCTCAAAACTCAGCCACAGGCCTCAGATCTCAAAGGCTAGGCCCAAGGCTTGGTTGGGTCACACCCCTAAGCAAGGGTACTCTAGCATCTCCCCTAGTCACATCTCCAACCTGTGGGTCACAAATGTTTTCAGGGGCTGCCAGCCCAACCTGGGGTGGGACCTGCCACTGAGGTTCTTCATGGCCAGAGGCCACACTGGTAAGATCCCCAGCACATAGATAGATCCTGGCTGGGGATTTGGAGTTCTGTCATTGGAAGCTCTGCCTGGGGCCAGCAACTCCACTTCTCAGTTCCTTTATCTCTAAAATGGGTCTGATAAGAATCCCCTGCTTTGATTATAGGAGCAAATGAGGTACAAGCAGCAAAATACTTTGTAAAACACAGTGACCAAAGCCTTAGTTACCACCTATTGAATTATTCCTTTGTACTGGGCAAAACACACTGATGAAACCCCACAAAAAGCCTGAGGCAGATATTTCTCTTATTTGCAATTTACAGATGGGAAATTGAGAATTAATAATGAGGGACAGGTGGGGCTCTGGGTAAGCTCATTCAGGGTATAGAAGGCACTGGGACAACAGGGTCTGAGCTCTGAACTTGTGGGAGGTGGGGGAGGGAAGGGGTGCTCCTCAGCTTTGCCTCAAGGTATAAAAAGGCTCTAAGCCCCCCAAACCCGGTCCATCAGAGTAAGAATCATGTTGAAGGTCTATACAGACAGGAGAAGGGGAGAGGGGTGGATCAGAAGGGAGCATTATAAACCAATTTTCCTATAACACTCTGCCAGGTAAAAATTTTTTTAACCCCATTTTGCAAGCAAAGAAACTGAGGATCATTAAGGACAAATGACTTGTCCTCAATTGGAGCACACCAAAGACACTCTTTTCCACCACCCAAAGTGGCTACTTCTTCCTCTCCCCAGATTGGGCAGTGCTTCTAGGCTCCCTTCCCTTGAGAACCACTGCCCCAGGGAGCTTCCAGGCTCACCCTAGAGAAAATCGACAGGGTTTCTCCACTGACCGCTTTCTCATAAAGGACTATTCTGGGAGCCAGTAAGTGTGGGAGATGGTACATGCCCGGCCTGGCCCTAACGGGTCTCTGACCCCACCCCCACCAGCAGGACCCAGCCCACGTTCCCAATGCCAGTCTGGAGCAGCAGATCGGGGCAAGAGGAGGGGCAGGGCGGACTCCCTAGGCCCAGACACGCTGGCGCTCCAGGGACTAGGGAACTCGGGCTCCCCTGGCGGAGCCCTGAAAGGCAAGGAGGGGTGGGGGTGGCTGTGCTGTTTCCTGATCGGGGCAGAGGATGGCCCTAGGTGGGTGGCAGGTGGGGATATGGGTATGCAGGGATCCTTCGATCTGGCTAAACATCAGCCCGGAAGGCCTGTGTGAACTTGGGCAAACAACTCGCAGAAAAGGAAGGACCTGGGCTAGGTTTCCGAGGCCCCAGGGGAAGGTGCCAGGTGACAGACTCCCAGAGAGTAACCCGAGCCTAGAGGACAGGAAGGGGGGCCTGGGTGAGCTCCTCCCAGCCTCCCAGACTCCCCCAGGAGAGGTGGCAGGGCGTCTGCCTTTTGCCTGGGAGCCCAGGGATTTCGTTAGACTCTGGGGGAAGGTGCGAGAGAAAACAGGTTTCAAATATAGCCTGGCCGCCAGCCTGGCCACCTGGATCTGGCTTTAGGTCCAGGTCGCCCGCGGCGGGGGCCTCTTCAGGCACTCCAGGGGGGTCTCCCAACAAATAGGTAGGTACCTGTGACCTCGGGCTCACACCTGAGGCCCAGGAGTTCAAAGATGACCCCGTAGGCCGGAATCCGGTTGGTGGAGGGGCTAGTGGGCTCCGCCCGCCGCACGTCCCCGCAGGGCAGCAGAGGCGTGGGGATGGGGCATCTTCCCAGGCGCTCGCCCGCGCCCCTCGTCCCCCGGGGGGCTGATGCTGAGCTCCTGCCTCCCGCGGGCAGCCCAGGACGGTGGGGCGGGAGCTGCCAGGGGTCGCCCAGGCCTCTCCTACCTGCACCTCCCTCCCCCGGCACCTGGAGACCCCCAGCTCGGTCTCCTCCCCAGCTCCGCCCTCCTCCCCGCCGCCAAGAGCGGGGGTGGGGAGTGGGAGCACGACCTGACCCCGGGCGACCCCAACCCCGCGGGGCCGGGAAGGCCGCGACGGGACGCGAGCGCGGGGAAGGCCCCGCCTCTCCGCCAACTTGGCCCGACTCCGGGCGCCCGCGGGAGGCCCCGAGCGCCTGGCCCGACCCTCGCCCGACCCGGCCCGACGGGCGCGCACACACTCACTGCGGTGCCGGCCGCCGCCCCCCCAGCTCTGCTTGGCCAGGCTGGGGCTCCGGATCAGCGCCCGCCCCGCGGACTTGAGCGCGTCCATGGCCCGCTCCGGCCGCCGGCGCCGCCGCCAAAACTCTGTCAGGAGAAACTTTCCGCCCGGCCAGGCGGCGCGCGGTCGGCGCGCTCCTCCCTCCCTCCTTCCCCTCCCGGCGCGAGCTCCGCGGCTACGTCCAGGGGCGGGGCGAGGCCTATCTGACACGCCCACGGACACGCCCTCGGACACGCCCCTATGCCAGACTCGCCCCGCCTCGGCCTGACTGTGCTAGGGATTCCAAGGTGGGCGGTCCCGGAGGCGTCCAGGCAGAGACCAGCGCTGAAAGCTGGACGCCCACCTTTTCTCCCATCCCCGGTCGCCCGTAGCGGACTGAGGGTCCCAGAGCCCCTTCCCGCCGCGGGAGGCCAGGGCCTAGGATTCTAGACAGCTTCTGAAAGGTGCTTTGCAGACCATTTTACAAATCAGGAATTTGAGGTCCCGAGCGGTGAAAAGCTCAGGAATGAGAAAAAGGGATGTCCAGGGTGGGGGAGGCTTCGAAGGCAGTAGAAGTTTGCCGAAAAGGGGTGCATCTTGAAAGTGGACCCTGAGCGCAACCTCTGGGCTCCTTACTGATCCACATAGCACGAGGTTACTCTCAGGTACCTGCTGGCACTCTGAGCTGCCCCCTGCCCACCCCATTCCAAGGTAGTCTCAGAGATGGTGTGTTCTACCCTGAGGTGTTGGGGAAAGAGGCCTTAACCTCCCACAGGGACTTGCTGCGGGACTCCAGGCAGGTCTTCCCCCCTCTGGATCTTACTCTTTTTTTAAAAAAATATTTATTTATTTATTTTTAGATGGACACAACATCTTCATTTTATTTTTATGTGGTGCTCCTGCTACCACTTGAGCCACATCCCCAGCCCCTGGATCTTACTCTTATCTGTAAAATGAAATGTGATCCTTCCAACAGGTGGGTGCCTGCCTATTTACTGGCTGTGTTATCTTTTCATCACTGTGACAGAATAACTGAGACCCCACCACTTTGAGCCTTCGATAAGGCAGAACATCGTGGCCAGGAGCACTTGGAGCAGAGCTGCTCACCTCATGGCAGCTGGGAAGACAAAAGAGTGAAGAAGGGACCAAGACACTCCCCCAGCGACCGAGTTCCTCCACCCAGGCCCCACTTCCAGCAGTTTCCACCACCTCCTAATCGTCTGTTCGATGATGAGCCCCGCAGTGAGTGGGTTGATGAGATCAGAGCCCTCTTGATCCAAACCCTTTCCAAAGCCCCACCTCGGAATGTTGTTGCATTGGGAACCAAACCTTCCACACAGGAGCCTTTGGGGGTCATTCTAGATCCAAACCATAACAATGACCTTGACTCAGACCCTGCCCTACTTCTTGGGAAGCACTTCCAGGGTAAGCTAGACTCTAGAATTCCTCAAGCACTGGTCTCCTAACCCCAGGATTTTAGAATTCCAATGCCAAGCTCCTGGGCCTTCCCATCACACTGTGGAACGCAGACCCTGCCCAGCTTCTTGCAGACAAGGCAGAGCAGCCTCTGTGACTGCTCAGGAGCCAGCAGACCTGTCTGTGTCGGGAGGAACACAGGCTGTGCTCGCCCCAGCTGGACAAGGGGCCTGCTGATGGCCACTGTGTCTAAACTAGGTGCCTTGGCAGCCATTCTGTCCTTCACCATTTCCTAAAGATGCTACTCGGATGCTACTCGGCTGGACCCAGCAGCCTGCAATGGAGCCACTTGACAGCTGGGATCCCTGGGCCCGGGAAAGAAACACTCTCAGAGGGGCTCTGAGGGTCAGAGGCCAGGGTCCCACTCAGGCCTGTAGGCCCCATGAGTAGGATGCCAGGGTTGGAACAGCACTGTCCTTGTGGTGATCAGGGACTCCCCTTTCTGAGCCTCATCTGGAAAAGGGACGACAGTATATCTCTTCCACAGGATGTCACTCAGGTGTCAGAAGAGCAGAGTCATGGCCTGAGCCCACTTCAAGGTTGCCTCTCACCCCCCAGGGGCCTAGGAGCGAGGATTCGCCACAGGCTCCCACAGTCCTGTGCTCTCTGCTCTGCGGCTGCTGCCTGTCTCTGTTCTCACCTCCGTCAGAGGCTGCTCCTTCAAGGGCAGGAAGATTTTCTGATTCATTTCTGAATCCAGATGCCTAGCAAGGGGCCCACATGGAGTCGGAACACAGCCAGAGCCCCCTTCCTTCTTCCCTTCCTCCCCCCCAACTTGTCACCCCACGGGGCTGCCTTCTCTCTCAAAGGGCTGGGCCCTCCCAGGACATATGGGCCCTAGAATCACAGAGAACTTTCTGGCACCTAGAGGAAAAGCAGTCACCCAAGGCTGACCAGCCAAGAGCAGCTGGTGGTGTCCGGCTGGCAGGAGGCACCATATGGGCCCAGTAAGCAGGCAGCCTTGGAACACTGTGCCCGCAACAAAGTCTGTCAACTGGCCTTCGCATCGTCCCGGAGGTGACTCGCTGAGAGCTGTCAGCCATGTGTCTCCTGCAGAGGGGCAGCCTGCCAGCGCCCCTTCTGCTGCTCCCAGAAACAGAAGCAGGAACAGAAGGTCAGAGCTGCGAGGGGCCTCTTCAGCGGTCACTGTGCCCAAATCCTCATTTCACAGGTGAGGAGCTTGGGGCCCAGAGAGGGGCAGGGACTTGTCCAAGGTCACACAGCAAGTCAGGACCAGAAGCCAAGTCTCCTGGCCTTCCACTTAGAATTCTTCTAACCACGGGGAGGGAACAAAGAAATCTTAAAAGTACATGGATATTTTAAAAAAAGGCCTTAAGGTGATCCCACCCTTTTTTTTAATCTTACCTGATCCAACTTTGCAAACATTTCTACAATGATCATGAATTCTTTAGTAATTAGAAAAGCAATAAAGAGGGGGAGGGGAAACTCCCTGGTCACCTGCTTCTGTCCTTTTTTTTTTTTTTTTGGTACAGGGGATTGAACTCAGGGACACTCGACCACTGAGCCACATCTCCAGCCCTATTTTGTATTTTATTTAGAGACAAGGCCTCATTGAATTGCATAGCACCTCGCTTTTGCTGAGGCTGACTTTGAAACCTCCATCCTCCCGTCTCAGCCTCCCCGGCCACTGGGATGACCGGGTTGTGTCACTTGGTCCCGCCTGCTTCTGTGTTTAGTCCAACGACTCTCTGTCTTACTTTGTTTCTTGGCCCTTTGACCAAGATCAAGTGCAGAACTTCCATCTGACTCTTGTCTTCCCTGATGGACTCTCACAGGAGACAGTGGGTGCCGGGACTGGGTGGGCTCTCAGCCCCTCTCTCTCGAGGTGCACTTGAACTCGCAGGGAGACCAAGACCGAGTGGAGGCTGGGGGTCGGAAGCCCTGGCCCCCTCGGGCAGCCTACCCGCCCAGCTCCCCTGATCACCCCTTTACCAGCATTTCTACAGGGTCATGGGTGGGGACAGCGGGGCTCCCTGTGTCATGACCTCATGGCCTCAGACAAGTCATTGAATACCATGGGCCTCTGGTTCCTCAAAAATGTAACACTGATGCAATAGACTGAAAGTTTAGGTCCCCGCAACATTCACATGTTGAAGTCCTAACCCCCAAGAGGTGGCACCTTTGGGAGGGGACCCTCAAGAAAGCAGAGCCCTTGTGGGGGGGGATGAGTCTATAGGAACCCCTGAGAGCCCCCAGTCCCTTCTGCCCAGGGAGGTTCGCAGGAAGTGAACCAGGACCCTCCCCAGACGGGGACCTGCCGGGCCTCGGTCTTGGGACCCCCAGCCTCCGGCACTGTGAGGAATAGACTGCTCTTGTTTGGAAGCCGCTTTGTGACAGCAGCCCGGGCAGACGAGGATGGGGATCACGCCTCCTGGGGTGGCCCCGAGAGAGCACGTCAGGAGTCAGTGTTGTGACGGGTTTAGGATGCCGCCGGTATCCCGCGAGTGTGCTAAACGTTGCCGGTTTTTGTGAAACTCAACTCACATTCCCGACCCGATGAGCGTGAAGATGGCGTGGCGGGAGGGGCTCTGTAGTCTGTCATCTAATCCTCGACTGTCCCCCAGGAAGGACGCTCTCTGGGGACTGGAACCGGCCTGGCCCTGTCTGAGCTGTGGCCGTCCAGCCTCACCCAGAGTCCCGATGGCACCCTCAGTGGGCAGCGAGGACCGCCTCACTCTTCCTCTTCCCCAAACACTTGGCTTCCCCAGCTTTCCCAGGCTCCTGCCTTGGTCCAGAACATCCAGTTGGCTTCCTCCCCAACCCCCGATGTCCACTGTCACAGCTGCCTGCAAACCACTGTCCTCTCCCGAACACACACATGTGCACACGCGCACGCACACACACACACACACACACACACACCTCTACACAACAACTCTTTGGCCCTAGAGTCCCACATAACTTGGCTCTTCAGCCAGATCCACCACTTAGATATGTAACCTTAGCTAACTAGAGCCCTGGTCTGCTCATCTGCACAATGGGCGTGATGCCCACCAAGAGGGCTTGGCAAGGCTTCTCTGGCTGTCAGTCAATGGTCACTCTGGTCACCGTTATGGTCATGGTGACCCACCTGCCTCTCCCAGCAACTGGACGTGCTTCAAGCACAGGGGCTGGAAAGCATCTTTCACCCCAGGGTCCCCTGGAAGAGCTGACCAGTGCCTGGGACCCAGGAAGTCCGGCCCACTATTCCCGAAGCGTGTCTCACAGCTGGGGGCCTCTGCAGCCGGAGGAACGGCAGTGCCCAGTGGGGCTGGTGTTCCCGAGGGGTCCCTCGGTCCCCACCGCGCAGCCTGCCCTGCTTGGTGGCCGGGCAGTGGTCTCCTCCCAGCCTGGGCGGGCACAGGGAGATCTCTGGATGGTGGAGCTAATTAGGAATGACAAACCACCGTGTAATTGCCAGCAATTGATGAGTCCCCTGCCTCTTCCTGCCCCTCCTTAGCGCTGTCTGGCCTGGAGCTCCCGACAGACAGCCGGAGGCGGGCAGGGAGGGGTCATGAGCACAAGGTGGCATCAGGAGACCGGGGCCGGCTGCCTCTGCCACCCTGTCACAGTGGGACCCTCGGCAAGGACGTCCGCTTCTCAGATCGGCTTCATCTCTCCTCCCATTGCAGGCTCTTGACCTTGGACTGAGAAGAGGAAGAGGAAGACAAGGTCTGGGGGTCCCGCCA